TATTAGCGACTCAATGTCCACGAGAGTCTTTCAAGGGCCAAATCATCAGCGTAAGACGTTGCTTATGGAGTTCCCAAAACTGAGGAGGTTGCTCGAACTCAAGGAAGCCCAAGATGGTTCGAATCCCACAGTGCGAACAGAGTCCACGTTGATTGTCTACATCCGCCAGCTTCGCACCATATTCGGTACCGTCCATCCAAACAAACAATTACATGATGAGGATTCAATTGATTGGATAGAAGATCATGGAAAGGTTATAAAAGCGATCGAGGGCTTAACGGATTCGAAGGGCGAGCCCCTCAAACCGCTCACAAAGGGTTGCTATGCAGCCCCCTTTTCAATTCTCGCTCAAAAAAAAGGTTTTGTTGACGCACACAAAGCTTACAGTGACTACATTGAAGCAAAAAAGCCTTCGGAAATCGAGCTCGACCAAACGATGCAATGTAAAACGGATAAGGAGATACAGCAGTGGGTTCCATGGAACGACATTCTGAAGGTCAGAGATCACCTCGATCAGATCATCACACGAACCATTGTGGACAAGTTTGAACAAGGCCGACCAATGACCCGTAGTGATAAGCAGCTCATCAATGATCATCTGATATTGGCCCTATATACGATGCCTCTGGGGCCAGTACGGAACGAGTTTGGTAGCTGTCGGATTCTGATGCAAGAAGATATTGCCGATTTTGACCCCAAAGCCGGCGATATCAACTCATGTTTGCTAACGAAGGATCCAAAGCAGTGCCAATTTATTATAACGAAACATAAGACGCTCAACAAGGTTGGGATCAGAAGATTGCACATTCCCGAAACACTGATTAAGGTCATTGTACGGAGCTTCAATCTCTGTCCAAGGAACTATCTGGTCATGAAACGTCACTACCTCGGCTTCAAGGACGAACCAATCACCAACTTCACACCTGTGCTGAACGACCTCGGGCAACGACACTTTGGTAAGAATCTTTCGTGTACCCTTCTGCATCATATATCCCATATAGAACTCACACCCGGTTTGGGTTCACGAGGCGATGTTCGAAAGAAGTGCGAATTTATAGGACACTCACTTTCGACCGCACTGAATCACTACGAACGACGATGGTCACCCTAATCGACTTCAAAATCCTTGAGATGCGTGACCACAAAACTGCGATATCATGTCATGCGACTCGGGTCTTTCTATAAACAGCTAGCGAGTGCCTTTCTTGCAACGGTGAGAGGCACGAGCGGATATCCGTGCGTTTGAAGGTTCGATTTTTTCTGACTCCAGACCATAGAGGCAACCGGGCCCCAACATGGAGTCGAGCATCCACAACCACTCGTCACCAAGCGTGTGCCCTCATTGCATGGAGGCTGTAATCTACAAAGCAGAGCATCAAAATAAGAAGCGGGCGTACAGTAAATCGTATTACGCAATACATAAGGACGAGATATTGCTCCGGAGAGCTCTTGAACGCGAAGAGCATGGCGAGAAGCTCTCCAAACGCACAAGGGACCGACTTTATAAGGCGAAGATTACTACTAGCCCTATGATTCGGTCGTATTAAGCTGACAACTCGATTTGAAGGAATGAGTTTAAACGGACTACCAGATCCCATGAAGCCCTGAGGTCAAAATGGCTTCACGGTAATCCGTCACGCACCACGTTTTTTCAGGAGTTGAAAATCTGATGAGGCGTCATGACACGAACCGCGCTTTGAGTGCCGCCGCGTTTTAGGCTGCCAAAAAATTTGTACCCCTGAAACATAGGGGTATGTTGACCTTAATCGGACTGAGTTGAAATGGCGAAACATTTCACGACCTTGCGCGAGAGGGCCTCTATGCCGTCCCGGCAAAGGTCGTACGCGAAGAAAACGGGAGCAAGAAAGTCCGGGGAACGATGCCGCATGCGAAAGGTGACACGGCCATCAGATCGAAATCCGAATGGAATGCTGCACGCGGAAGGATTTCGGAATTCATTGAGGAGCGAGGGTACAACTTTGCGGCTACAAAATGTGGTGTCATTTCCGATCTCTTTGTGCTTGACGTCGACACTGCAGATAAGCCCGATGAAGACATCATGGCCGGCATGCCCCTCTGGCAGCGTTTGATTGCAGAAAATGGGGACCCTCCCACCCTACGAGTGTCTACGCTCAGTGGAGGGCTTCATTATTACTTCTTACTGGGAGAATCGCTCAACAACGGGCTAAAGTCAGGGAAGGATTTTGTCAGCGTGGACTTCGACGGCCAGCTTTACGGGATTGACGGCCGCGGCGAGGGCGGCATCGCCTTTTGCCCACCGAGCACCCTAGGAGACGGGTTGGCATACAAATGGAACACGGCACCTATCAGGGCCAACATCAAGCCCGCCCCCGCGTGGGTGATCGAATCCATCAACGGCTGTGCAAAACGCGCGGGTCAAATGAGTGTTGCGCCAACTTTGAGCTGCAGATTTGATGATACCGCAATGGTGGGGGGGTTTGAAAGTGAAAAAGACGAAGTGCCTGATTTGGGCACCGGCGAATCCGGCGAGTCGTGCATCGACGAGAGCTCACTAACCCCCCGTGACGCTGAACCCGCCGAGAGCAAGATCGCGGACGGTATGATGAAGCTATTACGAAACGACGGACTTGACTCTAACGTCCGTTTCTCCGGCAAGGTCACTCCGCGTGGATCGGACGGCACTTTCTACTCGTTCGTTTGCGACGGGCCACGGAAATGCATACACGGCCATCGGCATCACGGAAGCAACAACTTCACCCTCATAAAGCGTGGGTGGACCGTCATGTACCGGTGTTTTGGCGCCGAATGTTCAGATAAGCCGCTCAAGGAGCTAGGGAACCTCGGCCTTGCCGTGTCCTTGCTTGATGCAAACCAGGGAAGCTGCATCCAACGCACGATAGAACGATGTTCCCAGCCAACTGCGGGGCAGGCTTATCGAAGTCTGAGTTGCAGGCGCATCTGAATCTGATCAGGCGTAACGTGACGCAGCGCTATCGAGGCATGGCTGGCATCTTCTCTGCCATGCACCTCATCGATGGACGCATTCTAGCTCAGGAGAAAACGTTTCAATACTGGACTGGCCGCCGGTGGATTACCGACAATGCGTTTCACGTTCAAAGTGTCTTTAGCAGCCACATGTCCCGGATCATGAGCTGGTATGCAAACCAGAGAGCATCCGCCTACAAGAAAGAGATCCACGCCCAAATGAGAGCCTCGAAGACCTGGGGAGATGTAGCGCTGACCCCGGAGTCCGATCTCCCGGAGTGGGCCTCAAATCCAGATACCGACGAGGAGAAGAAAGCGTGCGCTGCTGCGTGGAAGGTCGTTAATCGAACGTATCCGCTTCTGGCCAAAGGCGACCTGGTCGACCTGACTAGAGGCAGCGAAGTCCGTGTCTGCCTGGAATTCGTTTTCAACAGTCTCCAGGCTCCCGAGGAGCTGGGTGCCCTGATGGACATTGCGAATCCGTTCTTGTTTGCGTGCGCCAACGGGGTCATTGATACCGAGACGGGGGTCTTGCAAGCGTTCCATCCTGCGCACCTATGTTCGCGGGCGTCCAAGGCGGCTTTTCGCGGCCTGCCGAAAGGGGGAAGTAGGTTCGAGCGATTCCATCTTGACAGCTTCAACGGAGACAGAGAGGTTCTCGACTGGTACCAACTCTTTAGTGGGTACTGCATGACGGCTGATACGTCGGAGCACATATTCCTAATCAAACACGGATCGGGGGCGAATGGCAAGAGCATGACCCGTTTGGCGATGTTCAAGGTGCTGGGGCAATACGCTGTGGTCATGTCGGAGGATTGCATCATCGAGGCAGGGAAGCGGTCGGCTGGAGCGGCGAGCAGTCACATAATGGCACTCAAAGGTGCTCGGGCTGGCGACTGTGACGAATCAAACGAGAGAGCAAGAATGAACGAGGGCATAGTGAAGGGGCTTTCTGGGTCGGATACAACTACTGCGCGTGAGCTTCAATCGCGACAGGAAACATTCCAGCTTAGTCACAAAGCGATATTGAACACGAATTTTCGACCCATCCTTGAAAACGTGGATTATGCCCTCAGTCGACGCATGGCCATCCTCCCAATGCTGGTCACCTTCAAACCCCCAGAACAGCTCGACCTCAGCAAGCCCCGACAGAAGGCCATGGATCCAACGCTAGAAGCCTATCTAAAGAGCGATTTGGGTCGAGAGGAGGGTCTCTCGTGGTATGCAGAGGGAGCCAGAAAGTACTTTGAGCTGAAGCGTACCAACCCGAATAGCCCTCCTCTAAAGCGCCGTCCACGCATTATGGTAGAAGCAGGCAAGGCCTACGAGCAAGACTCAGACATTGCCATGCGGTGGATCATGGATCAACTCGAGTTCGAAGATATCGAGCCGGGAGCACGGCCGACTTGGCACCTAGCTCTCGGAGAAAGGCTAGGGGGAGCGTTCAGAGCATGGTTGCGGGAGGAGGATCTCACGAGCTCGCTTTCGGCAACGGCTTTAAAGAAGCGGATCGTTTTATACGCGGATGGAGCAAACCGGGTATTAGAAGATGGTCGGTTTACGGATAGGCAGATACAGGAACGGGGGCAATTCAAGGGGCTGGCGGGAGTTCGCCTAAAGCCCGGCTGCGAGTACGAGGAGACGTATAACTAGTGGGCCGAGTATGCTATGGCCGTGTTCCTATCATATTGACCGGACGGACACATTACGACATGAAAGTGCCGAAATGAACAAATTTTGTTTGCTCATCTATGCTCATATCAGCCGCAGACCATAAGTCCAAAAGACCATAATATTAAGTCAAATCAATTTCAGATTTTATATACTCAGCCATACTCCAGTGCCACCATTTCTATAATGAAAAAGACCTGGAATCACGGTCTTCTGGGCTTTTGGTCTGCATTCGGAATGCGCCATGATCGGGCGTTGGCATGAATCATTGGTGGAGGGCTCGCGTATATGCTCATATCGGTCGCAGATTATAAGTCCAAAAGACCATAATATTAAGTTGAATCGATTTCAGATTTTATATACTCACCCATCCTTCATTGCCAACATTCCTATAATGAAAAAGACCTGGAATCACGGTCTTCCGGCTTCCGGGCTTTTGGTCTGCGCTCAAAATGCATCATGTGGATGTTTGACTGACATGAGGCCATTCGGCCGCTTGCATGAATCACTCATGATGCCCCCCCACCTTGCCGTACTTGCATAGACTAGCCGCGTGTCATAGGTTGAAAACGACATATGGCTATAAACACGGGAAACGCATTCTCGATAACAGATTCGAGCTTATATAGTGGTGGTATTGCACATCATTCTTGGAAGCCCTTTAGAAAGCAGCGAAACCTTACGGGGCTAGGTGGATTTTGGTGCTAAAGATCATCATATCCAAATTGCAGTGCCCCTACTTCGACCTTCAAACGTGCACATGTATATTTTTGCAGGCTTTCAATGCATCAAAAGCTTTTTATTGAGGGTTTGCCAGCAACATAGTTGGGCCAAAGGGAAAGGTCTTGAATGCACAGAGTCGTTCTACTCAATTTTCAAGCATCGCAGAAGGTTGCTAATGTTTCTTCCACAATAGCCACTTCTACATCAGTTCCATAATAATGTGCCTGGTCTGGACTGCTGTACATAGCATATGGGGTGCTGATGCCAAAACCATCCACAACGGGGATGCTGTAATTAGACATAATTTGCTTGCTAAGCTTGTCCCAATATCGAAAGCGTTGTTGCGTACGCCAATCCTTTGTGTCAACAAACCACTTCTTTCTAGGTGACGTCGGAAGAGGAATCGCCATGATTCCTTGGAAAGCCACCACTAAGTCGGACGGCATGACTTTGCTCGAATTGAGCTCAAGTGAGTGGGCCCTTCTCCTGTTGCTGCGCAACACTTGCAAGTGCTTTGCAACTTCATGCAACCTCTCCACATACTTCTCCGTGGTCCAGTGACCACCCAGCGATTCGCCAGCAGCCGGCCAGTGACCAATGTTGAAGTAAATAATGTCTACCAGAGACCACCAAGTTTCATTCCTTTTAAGCAGCGCCTCCAAGAAAACATCCTGCTCAAATATAAGTCGAAGGTGCTCCAGATCTTGGGCACCGTGCTGGAACTTTTGACGAGCAGTCTTTTGGATGATATTCTGTAGCCGCTTTCCAAACGCATTGTACGTATAGCGCATCTGGCTATCCCCAGTAAATACTGCTGTTCGGTTGCTAGCTTCCAGCCATGCGGAAGCTGAGTGATGACAAAGCTCGCTGGACCGTCTAGAACTGAACCAGGTAAACTGCTCGTATAGGGCAGACCCTGTGCAATTTATATTTGTCACTGGCCACTGCGTCGCATTAAGCCAGTAACCAGGACCTGGAAGATTGGCCTCCAAGAGTTGCAAGACTGCTTTGTCTGCGGTTTCGATCGGGGTAAGTCTTTTAGGTAGGGTCAGATGAAGCACTAACCGTTTCTCAAGAACGGGCGACTCGGTGACAAGATCGTCAAAGCCGCTGTAATTGCCATATAGATGGTACAGACTCAGCTCGTGACTGGCAAGTGGGCCTGGGATCAAGTGTATGTTAATCTGATACGAGCAATTCCCCAAGTACTTTGCTTCGTTGGTCCCCATCCGCTGGCTAGGCCCATCAACTATAAGGTAAAACGTGTCTGGACCCTGTTCCTGCTCAGCCAATTGCTGATGAAGGGTATGTGGCGATACCACAAGTTGCCGGTCCACTTCTTTGCATCTTTCCACTCCTTCCAAAGGCAAGGGCTCAATAAAGAGGCTGGAAACGAGGTCTGTCTCTGTGCATATCTTGACAATTGACATCCTTGGCAATGTCACATAAAAATGTTGGCAGCTTTGCTCATTATATTGAACCAATTCATTGGATGCCCAATCACTAAATCTCAGCAAGCTGGCATGTGGACTAAAGTGCACTAGGAGGAAGACTGAAGAAGCGAAAAAAGCCAACATGAAAATCGGCTTCCATGTTGTTCGCCGCCGCAAGTAATCCATCTCTCAGCTTTGATGCTATCAAGTTCTTTCCAACAGCTTGCAGATCCCCGGTTATAAGTGGGCTTGTCGGAGAGCTTTTTACACAACTCTTTACCCCCACACCGGCTTCGGGTTCTCCATGCTAATCAAGAATGCTCAGGATGTTTTAAGAACTAGAACGAAATATTTCCGATCGGGCCGACGGCCGTCGATGGGCACCCTGCGTCGACGTTCGTGCAAATAATATTTCTGCGGGTTTCATTTACGGTTTCATACGGTTTCATCAATACCAAGCTTTAGCTTTTAATTCCTGTTGAAGTCCAGTCAGCAGTATTTCGCACCGCACGTTTCAAAAAAGACTTTGACATGGAGAGGTTGACACAAGATGCATCAAGTAAAAGCTTAGCAGGCGCTATAAAATCCGCAGCGGCGAGAAGAGCTGTGCGCGGACAATGGTCTTTTGGACTTCTGGTCTGCGCCCGGAATGCACAAAGGCAGTTCGGAGCATAGTTTAGATTCCATTGACACATTGACTGGATGTTTACCTAGCGCATGAAGAGGGCGGGACGTTGGCATGAATCATTGGTGGAGGGCTCCCGTATATGCTCATGTCGGTCACAGACCATAAGTCCAAAAGACTATATTTCTAAGTTATTTCGATTTAAGATCTTATATTGTACCGCGAACATTCCAACAAGGGAAAAGACCTGGAATCATGGTCTTCTGGGCTTTTGGTCTGCGCTCGAAATGCATCATGAGAATGTTTGACTGGCATGAAGCCAGCCGGGCGGCTTGCATGAATCATTCATGATGTCCCCCCACCCCTTGCCGTACTTGCGTAGACTAGCCGCGTGTTCTAGTGTCGTTGAAAACGCCGTATGGCTATAAATACGGGAAACGCCTTGTCGATAACGGATTCGAGCTTGTATAGTGGATTGCATATCATTCTCGGAAGCGCTTTAGAAAGCAGCGCAACATTACAGCCGTACACCTTGAAGTTCAGTAGCCATGGCTTCTACGGGTTCTGACATTAGAAACCTTCTACACTAATAGAAGCCGGTTGCGTACAGCCGACCGCCACAAATCCGCTCGCCCCGCGATCCGCAGCTTCGGTTCGTCAACTCGCGCGAGTTCGCCGTTTCGTCCAGAAATAAGATTAGCCAGAATAACCATAAAGGCGGCGAGGCTAGAATACCATGCAAGCGTACGGAATTGTACAAGGAACGAGTTGCAGCTTTCGACCGCTGACGTGTTCACCCAGCGGACGGCGTCGTAGTAATCTGGACGTGACAAACCAGGGTTTAGCCGACATATTCATACCCACCGGATCGAAGGTGCAGAAATCACACCCAGATCACGTGCCACGTCAGCGAGGTCAACGGTGAGTCAATAGTCGCTTCCTTCGTATAGAAAGCTACTCGCTGTCGTTTTTGACTGCCACGTCGCGACCAACCAACGAATCTCATCTACCGCCAACGACCCTGCCAACTTCTGATGCAAATCGGCCATCTTTTCCAGCATTGCACATGCATCTTGTTGCTCACCAGGGTTAAACGATGGTCCACACTTGTGAGCCTCCGTGGATGTGCGCTGGAAATGAAAACTGCAGTGAATTGCGGCATGGGTTTGGAACGGGGCCGGCATCTCGACAATCGAAAGGCACGGTGATTCAGTGCCGCAGTGGCCCAAACTATTTCCACCACGTGCAGACCGTTGCATGCTGAAATTCAAGTGTGCTGCACGGACTTCCATTTTTTTGCCGTCACACTAACCGGTCGACGAGAAAGCGCACGTCCGCAAAGTGCGCAGGCTCTCTTTGCATCGCGTACGCCTGCAGCTTGCATGCGTTGTCGTAGACAAGAAAGCGCGGAAGATGCCGCCGTTGAAGGCGGGTGTAGAGGACGGCAAAGGGATCCCTCGGCGACTCCCCTCGCAACATGACGTGCCACCCGTAGATGACACGATGGGGGCAGCAGAAAACGAAGCCGCCCTTCGTGTGTTGCTGCAGTCGCTTGGCCTCCTTAACTTTGCCTGAATCGAGGGCAATCTTGGCATCGAACTCGCCAATCGTGAGACCGCTGCGGCAACGGTGCTCCTCGTGGCGCTCGAGGGACCGTCCCAACTCGTCTTCGAACGGGCGGTACTGGGGCAAAGGCCTCTTCTGCTGCCACCCTGGCAGCGGATAGCAGCCAAGGTCTTGCTGCTCGCGGCAGTAGGGGTGATCATGGGGAAAGGCGGCTGACTCTGAGCCGTCGATCTCGAGCCCGAGCCTGCCGTTCAACAACTCCTGCTCTGCCGGCAGCAGTGGGTACCGCTGCGGGGCCGGTGGGGTAAGGGTTTCGACCCCGGGGAGAAGGGAGTTGGCACGAGCGGCCCAGAAGTCGAAGGCTTGTCGCTGCTCGACACTCAGGGGGTTCGGTTGGCGCTGCAGCCACATGCACACGTCCAACCCCTCGATTGCCGACAGCGCCCACCCCGCACGCCCTACTCCGAGGCCCACGGCCCCCCTCCCGAATAGCGTCAGGCGGTAGAGGTGATGCAGCGCAGGATGGAAGAAGGCGGGGAACCGGTCGCCATAGTGGTCTAGAAGCCGGCGCAAGATGGGGGCGTGCTCCGCCAAGAGAATTCTGTCGTGGTCGTTTGCGGCTTCCCCGAGCAACAGTTTTCGAACCACGCCCAGCGCCCGGCCATGCTGGATGAGGTTCGAGTCGTCCGATACGGACAGCGGCGCGCCAAGACTGTAGAGCAGTTCGGACCACGTCCCTGGGCAGCTCGGGGGCCAGTGGGGCTCGACCTGCATCGCCTCGATCTCGATGCTCTCGAGCAGCTCCAGCACGGCTTTGTTCTTGGAGCGCATCTGGCCGACCTGGTCCGTCCGAATCCGCCGCCGCCAATGGAGCAACACGGGGTCGCCATCCGCATCGTCCGGATCGGCAACAAAGTCGGTGACGAATTGCACGTCGTCCCGGTCCAATGCGACCTGCATCGAGTCACGACGGGCGTCAGAGCAAGTCTTCAGCATGCCGTATGAATGAACGGCGCACTAGCCTCCAGTGCTCACTGCCTGCCACGTGGCAAGTTGTGCGGCGTGTTTCGGACGGTCCTCAAAGCATGCATGCGCGGATCGGACGGCTGTCAGAGTGTGATAAAAGGGCATTCCAGGTTGAAACACTTGGAGCCCAATCATCGGGGAAAAAAAAACTTTCTAGATTCAAAAAGTCTATAGGTTATAGAACGCTTTTTTTTCCCATGTCGATCTGCGCTTATGCGCTTAGTCATTTATTGATCACTCTGGGCCAGATACTACCAATGACTCGCTCTCCGGGCCTGCATATCTGACGGAATCTCTCGTATGCCTGCAGCATGATCATATTGATAGAGTCAAGATCGCCACGTGGTGCTCAAGACGTGCATGGTCCGAATGAGACTCACCAGCAGCTCTTCGTACTCTCGCGCGGTGAGGTGCTTTCCGAACTCGACGTCAGCCGGATGGTGTCCACTGAACCGGGCCAGCAACGTTCGGAGCTCCGGTTGATGCACGAGGCGCCGCTTCAGGCCAGCCCCCGCAAGCGACGCCGCCAGGTAGTTGCCCCCTGGCTCCATGACTTTCTGAACGTTGACGTCGAGGAAGTCTCGACTCGGAGCCGTGAACGGCCGAACCTGGGCCGCGCCAGTACCCGCAAGCCCGCCTTTTTGCCGGCCCCCATCCGCACAAGCGAGCCCCGCAATGCCGTCGTAGAGTAGAACCTGCAGGGAAGCTCAAGAGCCTTGCGTCCGTCTTGACACAGAGCCCGCCGTTGCCACATCAGCAGAAAGCTAGTCAAAAACGCCACTCCCTTGTCTATGTAAAGCATGTCGATGAGTAGAGCCACTTACCGCCGGATGCGGCCCGCATAGGCTGCAGCACTCCAGGATCTGGCGGCCGCACAGCCTGAAAAAGCCCAGGCTCGCCTTGCTCCAAGTCTCCTCCGAGAGAAGGATGGCGTTGGGCTTAAAGAATCGACGGGTGGCGTTCTGAGCAGAGACGATTCCTCCGAAGGCCGAGCCCGAGTTTTGAACGGACCGCAGCAGCAGCTGGCATGCGGCCTGCGTGACAACAACCCCTCGCGTCCAAGCGTAGAGGCCGAGCGCCTCTCCGTTGAAGTGGACTGTGTGCTTCTCGTGGCAGCCGCAGCAGTAGATTCGCAGCTGCACCTGGGCACCGCAAGAGGGGAGTCTGCTTTTGCCAAGTGCCATTTGCAAACCCGCTTGTCTAAGCCGTTACCAAGCCCCAGATGGGACGGGAAAAAATAACTGTTGCGATTCAAGAAAACGTATTCATTAGGAATGTTATTTTTTCCCCGTTCGCCTTCCGACTCGATCAAGATTGTCAAGATTGCTTGACGAAATGCAAGATACCAAACGCTGCAAGACTGCAGGACTTCAAAGCTGCGATCCCTGAGCTTACCTCCTGCGACCACTCTAGAGAGTAGATTTGCGCCGTCTGCCATAAGCCACTCCATCCGGTCCCGCAAGGAGGTGGCGCTCTGGGACAAGGCGCCGTGAGGCACTCCAGGGTGCTGAGCTCCTTGAAGTCTCGATCCGTGAGCTCGCTAACCCTCACGGGACGCCGTAGCAGCGTCACCTCGGGGTCGTGCACGTCCCAGGAGTCCGTTGGGCGAACGAGCTTGGGCACCTCCACCTGAACGCCCTCGGCTTCCACTGGCATCACCGCAGCAACACGCATGGGCTCCCCTTGAGTGCACGTGCTCGATGGGCACACGCAACTGCTGCACGCTGGAACCAAGAACGGGCCACGCACGCCTCCTGCAACCCCCGATGCGCCCACCCTCGTGTCTCCATTCCCTGCATTCTCCAATTCTGAAACCGGGCCACCACCATTGGCGCCACGTGCTTCCCAGTACTTCTTAGTTCGGCGCTTCCCCTTTGCTAGAGGAACGTCCCCCTCTCCCGCCTCTGCTTGCCCCGATCGAGCCCGTTTCCCACTCGCAGAGGCAGAGTTGCAGCAGCGTGTCGTGCATTTTGCTGCCCCCCAGTGTCGAGTTTGACCCCGCCAAACAACCTCGCATGCTGCTTGCAGAAGCAACTGTCCCCCTTGCAAGTTGCTTCATGGTGGCCTCCCACAATCAACTCAGCCATGTACTTTTCTAGCCCCAAGTCTGTCGCCCCCTCTTTGTTCCGCTGCATACAGGACGGGGCCTCAGAGTCAACGTTGCTTTGATGCAAAGCGCCTCCGCTGAGCCCATCTTGGCCGACACTTCCCAAACCCCGCTTCAGCTGTTCGTTTGAAAAGAAGCTGCCGGCCAACCTCTGCATGCCCCCTTTTCGCTCGAGAGCTCTCTTCGCCTCTTGAATGTGACCACAATCGGCCACCCTGCTGCACCCATCCTGCCGCCCCTCACAGTACCAGAAGAAGTCTGCGGTTGCGGAGTAGTGGACCATCGTTCGCTGCGGTGACGGTGACCCAGCATTCCAGTACACCCCAAAGACCCGCTCAACCGCCTCCTCGCATGGCACCTCCACGACCCTTGCCCCCCGCGGCAAAGACACATGGCTCGCTAGCCTTGACGGCTCTAGCGCCTGCAGCGCGAGCTTATGGACGCAAGGGGCGTCAAAGTACAGTCGCCCCCGATCGCAAGTGCAGCTTGTTCTCCCCATGGTGTCCCAATAAACCGTCTCCAAGAGCGCGCGCACCTTGCTGGGCCGTCCTAGCGGCTTAGACCTCGCGTTGTTGTGATCCCAAGCAGTGGCCAAGTACACTGTGCTGAGAGACTCCTCTTCGCCGACACTGTACAAGATGCACTGCCCTGATCTGATGGCGATGATGAACCGGGCAGCTTGTGCAGCGATAGTCAGGCGGCCATCGGCATTGCGGGCATCCGTGGGCGAAGCTTGGCTCTGCTCCTCCTACATATGTGCAAGGGCAATTGAGTCTTTGACACATCACATATCGACACATGCCAGCCGATCACGTGGAGTCTGCCAGCTTGAAGAAAACGTCTTCGATCCCGTCTCATTCTGGGAGTATGCGAGTGATTCACAAGTGACACCTCTGGCTCAATACATCGGCAACTACATATGAGAAGGACGTACACGCTCTGCCCTCAAACATGTTAACAGAACAGCAAATGTAGGCAGCATATCCTGGACTGCAACCTCAGCAAACGACAATCAGCAGGTTGAGCAAGGGCACCGTAAGACCCTCCGACCGCTAGGGGCGCCCTCCCTCTTGCGATCTCCCCTGCTTTTCGCCCTCTATTGAGAGCAGCCTCAGCTGCAGTGCCGCCGCGGCGCCCGCCGAATGCTTGCTTAGCTTGCTCCTCCCTCAGAATGAGGGGCTTCAGCTCTTCTCCTAGCAGCGCTTTCAGCCGACACCATGGCTCTGCTGGTGAGGAGCGCTGAAACCAGATCTCGGCAGGCCCAATCGAATCTACTCTAGCTACGGAGATTGTAAGTCTGTTTGCTGACTCTGACACCGGACCGTAATGCCGCCCCACACATTGCAAGCACAGAGGTTGGTCCTTCCGCTGCCCTTTAACCCTAGAGTCTCTCTCAGTGACTGCAAACCCTTTCAGCGAATGCGACTTTGGAAACGCCAACTGATAACCATCCACAAGCTTTGCAATCAGAGTCTGCCTGCATATGGCGCATTTAGTAGCTAGGAAAACTATCGACTCCAGCCGTGAGGGGTCTACCGGTACGATTGAATTACCAGACTGGACCTGCTTCTGGGTCACTGGGTGCAACCGTGATGGTCTCATTTC